GTCGGTGCGCAGCCCGCGGGCGTCCCCGCCGTCAGGGCCCGCGTCCTAGCCCCGGCCCCCGTTTTCGTCGCCCGGAGGCCCCGGCGCCCGTGCTCCCCAGAACGCGCCTGCTCTTTAGCCCCACGCCTTGGGTTCTCCCCCCACAGCTCGTGTTTGTGTCCGTGACTTCAGTTGTTCCCTGTCCCTCCCAGCGGATCTCACCGCCGGGCACCTGGTACCGCAGCACAAGGCAAAGGGGAGGATGGGGAAGACGGAGGTAGACGAACCGTATATGCTTCCGCCTTCCCATTGGGCTGTTCCAGGTAGTGAAACACCGCGGCTTCAAGTTGAGATCTGAGAGGCCAGAGTACTGGTGCCAGTCAGCTAACAGTACAGGCTGCATCACCTGAGGGCTTCCCACCAGACTGGCCTCTTCCTACAAGCCCCTACCCACTCTCATCACCCTATCGGGGTGCTCTGAAAAGGACTAGGGCTGGCAGGGAGGTGACCCTCTCATGCCACCTGGAGGGGCTGCCCTTTCTGGCTCAGGTGGGACTTGCATGTGGCCCCCAGACTCTGTGGCTTCTCCGTAACAGCTTCCAGAAAAGTGAATAAAACACCAGTGGTGCTCATGGTTGAGCATCCCCCATACACCAGATCACTGGTTTGATTCCCAGTCAGGGCACATGCCTGATTGCAGGCTCGATCCCCCGTAGGGGGCTTCAGGAGGCAGCCAATGTTTCTCTCCTCGCTGTTTTTCTCTCTCTCCCCCTCTACCTTCCTCTCTTTGAAATCAATAAGTACATATTTTTAAAATAAAACACAAAACAAGTGAGATGATTGATTTATTTCTCAACTCTCAGCCCCTCTCTCAAAGGTAGGGCCTGATGACCAAAATCTGAGTGTCTGGGACTTGAGCAGACACCGGGAGTGTAACTCAAAGTGCCCAGGTCAGATGCACAAGCTCAGACTTCAACAGAGTCCAGTGTCAGACTCTGCAAGGTCAGAACTCAAGGTTCATGTATGTCCTCAGGTCCCGCTCCCAGGCTCTGTCCTTGTCCCTCTGCCTTCTCTCCTCCCTTCTGCTCAGTGTGGCTGCCTGAGGGGCTCTCTCCCTCCCAGCCACTGCCCGGGTATCCTGGGCCAGGAAGTGTGTGACTCGGGGTTGGGGTGCTGATCCGTACCCTAGCCCTTCCTGATCCCTCTTGAGGACAGTAGGGATGGGGTTGACACGGCCCTTGCCCCAGGGTCCCAGACCCATTCCAGGCTCCCAGCCTGCCCTCAGCAGCAGCTTGAAGCCTGGGCTGGAAGTAGGCATCCCAAAGTGCAGACTGGGGTTCCGGAGGTCACGGGACAGTGACAGCAGGTGAGCAGTAGATGTGCAGTGGTTGGAGTCTTGGAAGTAGGCATCACACGTCTCACAGTACTGGGTGGACAGGGATTGGGACCTGCAGAGGAAGAAGAGAAAGGATGGAGGGCAGAGAAAGGGTGGAGGTGGGGGAGGGGGGAATGACAAGGTCCTTCCAGTCTTTCTAAGGAACAAATTGCCTTCCTCCCCACTTAGCAGTGAAAGACCAGAAGGGGAAAGTTGGGTAAAGAGATGGTAACCAGAACTCGCAAGGAAGGGATACAATAGCTAAAGTTAATATTTACACAGTGCTTACTATGTGGAAAGCTCTGTTCTAACACTTGACATATACTAACCCATTTAATCCTAACAAACCTATGAGAAAGGTGCTCTTATTACCACCATTTCTCAGACAAGGAAACTGAGGCACCCAGGCTTTAGGTTGCTTGCCCAAGTTAAGCAGAGTTAGCATTTAAACCCAGAGCTTGTGCTCATGTTCATCCTAGTACACTGCCTTATCTATCTACACTGGGAGATGGGGAAGAGAACCCTTCAGCTCTTTGCTGGTGTGGAGTGGCTAGGAAGCGCAGAACACACTGAAGACGGGCATGGGCGAAGGCTTCCCCTTACCGGTTCCCTGGACTCCTCGTCTCTCCATGACTCTCTCTGACCATGCGGGCCACCTCAGGGAAGCCTGCTTCTTCAGCCAGCTGAGCAGCATCCCTGCCACCCAGCTCGCAAACTCCAACCCAGGCAGCTCCCCGGCCCAGGAGATAGCGCACAGCAGCCCCCTGGCCTGCTCGGGCAGCACACATCAGGGGGGTCCACCAGAAGGCATCCCGAGCATTGATATTCCCCCCAGCTCCCCCTGCCTCACGGGGATCCAACAGCCTTCTTAGTTCTGCCAAGTCCCCCTCCTGGGCTGCCCTCAGTATCCGATGAGTCATCTTGTCCTCAGCCTCAAGGGATCTCCTTTGACCATGTCCTCCTGATGCTTCTGTTGCAGCCTCTCTCATCATTCTTCTCTTCTTCCTCTTTCTCTCACCGGCAGGTTCAGGTTGTGATCTCTGAGGTTCAGGGGTGCTGCTCTCATCTCCAATCAAGGCCTCATAGAAAGCCCGGGCTGCAGCCCCATCCAAGATAGGCTCCAGCTCTTCAGCCTGTGACTGCTGCCGCCCATCTTTCCAGAAGTCACTGGGGTCAGTGGCTGGGGTGAAGGTGATGAGGGAGGGTCTGGACATGGCTTGGGAGCTTCAAAAATGAGACTAGGCAAGGGGAAGATGAGACCAGCAAGCCACTCCAGAGACCTGCTGGGATGAAGGAAAGCAGCCTTAGAGTAAAAAAATCTCTCCCGCCCCAAAAGTGATGCCACAACCTAAACCCCTACTGGGCCTGAGGCAATAGATCACGTGGGAGAACAGGGAACCCTGTAGTAACAGGCCATGCCCAAGAGTAAAGGTGAGCAAAGACTCCATGAGGCAGCTGCTCAGAGGCCCTGCTTTCCACCCCCACTCCCAGCTTCATCAATAAGTAGTGATTGCCTCTCTCTGGAACTACTTCATCATCTGTAAGACAAACGACTAAGAAAAGCAATCAGCCTGGCTCTTCAGTCTTCCTCCATCCTATTTTGAGTGTCTATTTCGAGTGCCGTCTTCTCAAAAACACCTGACACTTCTCCGAAAGCAGGAAGCAGGTTTGGGGAGAGGCTGCAGTCGGCATCCCTACTGCAAAATGGCGCTACTCTAAGCAAAGGAGTTCACGTAATCAAATAGCCAGACTATTCGAAGACGCAAGCGGCTGGGAAAAAACCCACCAAGATTACTTGAGGACGCAGGCGTGCAGAAAGCGCCTGGTTTCCCGCCCTGGAGCCTTTCCAACAGAACTCACGCAGAGCGCCGCGTGCCTAGGGAGCTCGAGGACAGCGGAGGGTCTGTCAGTTGGGGTCTTGCTTTTACCTAACGCCCCACAATGCCCTTCGCCTCCCTCAACGTGGCCCCCTGCTCTGAGCTCATTTTCTGGAGCTGGGAGACCACTCTCTGGGTTAAGAAAGGCCCTGGGAAGGCGGAGGGAAACCTATGGGATGGCCCGGACTGGGAAATAAAATAACGTCACGCTGCCCCTCACCATTACTGCAACCAGGGTTCGAAGGTCGCGCTTAGCGCCCGCAGCAGAAGGCCCCATTCAAGCCCTAAGAAGTACAAAGACACCAACAACAGAATGGCCGGCACCGCCTCAGGTTAGCGCACTAGGCCGCCCGGTTCTCTCACCGCCCAGCGGAGCCCAGCGCGGCCCACCCAGGTCCCTCAGCAAAATATGGGCCCCGTCGGGGGTCCCCAGAGCGCGCCCGGCGCGGGCAAAGGGTGGGCCTGAGGGCGCGCGGGGGCCGGAGGCCAGCCTCCTCCCTTTCCCCACCGCCTCTCGCCCCCGGATCCCTGGATCACACAACTATATTTCCCATACTTCCCGGCCCAGGAGGTTACCGGGTTTCCGCTTCCGGTAGCGCCTCGCTGCGTCCCGCCCCCAGCGTCTTCTTCAGGGGCCTCGCGACACCAGGGTCGTGCGCGAGTCACCTTGGAAGTCGTAGTTCGCCTTGCCCTGGTTTCGCCAGTTTCTCCCTCTCGGGAACTCTATCTCCCGGCGTCCACCGCGGCGCCTGACCCTTGGCGCTTGCGCGTTGCCTTCTTCCCCGCACTCCCGTTTACACCCCTCCACTTGCCTGCCGCGATCGGGTCCGCGGCCTGCGCTGTAGCCGCCGCCGCCGTATCTTGGAAGTAGCGACTCCCCTCCCCCACCCTGGTCCCGGCCCCCGTCCAGACGGTGAGTCTTATAAGGTTGTCGCCGCGCCGAGTACCCTGTCTCTGGGCGCGGCACATGGGGGTCTCCGCGCCTCGCTATGCGGTGGGGAAGGAAGTGAAGCGGGCCGGCACCGAGGGAGGAAGGAAAGGGTGGCTTGAGGGGCGGAGGTGGGATGTGAGGAGACCCGCGAAAAGGACCTTGGGGCCACCCCCAGGCCTTGAGAAAAGGAGCGGCCCAGCTCTCGCTTGGAAAGGATAAACTTGAAACCTTTGAGAAAGGCGTTGGGACCCGCAGAGACCGGCGTGGGTAGGAGCCGAGCCGGGGCCGGCCTCCGGGGGCGTCGGGATGTGGATAGGACGGGTAGGTCAAGGCCTGTCGGTTTCCGGTGGGGCCCCAAAGAGTCCTGATCTCAGAGAAGGGGGCTGAGGTGTAGATAAGAGGAGGTGAAGAGAGGTGCTCCAGAATCTGGGACCCTAAGGAACGGTGGCCCCGCGCCCTTTCTTCCCTGGTGGAGGCAGCGGGAGGAGGGAGGTGGCGGAGCGGCGGAGCTTGGGTCCCACTGACTCTCTCTGCAGCAGACGTGAAGATGAGCAGCTCAGAGGAGGTGTCCTGGATCTCCTGGTTCTGTGGGCTCCGTGGCAATGAGTTCTTCTGTGAAGTGAGTTCTCCTGCCTTCTCCTGTGTCCGACACAGCCTGCCCGGATACTCCCCAGCCCTCTCACATGCCTCCATGGAAACTCGTTCCTGTGGAGGAGGAGTCCCCTCAGTGGCCCCGGCCGCCCCCAGCCCTGCCCCTCCAGCAGTGTAAGAGGGACAAGTGAAGCTGTGTCTTTTGGTTGGTGGGAAAAGCCAAGACGGTAGTGCCTCTCCAGCGACAGCGGTGTGGCTCAGTTGGTTGAGTGCAGTCCCGTGCACGGAAAGGTCACCAGCGCCATCCCTGGTCAGGGCCCACGCCGGGTGCCGGGCTCCATCCCTGGTCGGGTGTGTGCAGGAGGCCACCATCCCTGTTTCCTTCTCCCTCCCTTCCCTCTCCCTCTCTCCCTAAAATCAGTAAAAACCTATCTAGGCCCTGGCCAGGTAGCTGGTTAGAGCATCGTCCTGATATGCCAAGGTTGGGGGTTCGGTCCCCAGTCAGGGCACATAGAAGAAGCAAACAGTAAGTGCACAAATAGGTGGAACAAGAAATTGGTGTTTTACTCTTCCTTTCTCTTTCTCTCCCTCTCAAATCAACAAATAAAAACTTTTAAAAAGTTTAAAAAGACATTAAGTAAATAAATACATGTCGTCTTGGGGTTTTTTAAGCCAAAGCTTTTATGGGAGGGGGTGTGTGTGAACTGAGGATAGAGATTCAGGTACCTGTGCTGAGTTGGGAGGGGAACAGAAGCAGTTGTGCTGAGGATCAGGCATCAGTGGAGCGACTTGTCAGGTCAAAGCCAAGCATTCTGTTACGAGTTCCCTCTTCTCCTCCACGTCCTGACAGGTGGATGAAGACTACATCCAGGACAAATTCAATCTCACTGGGCTCAACGAGCAGGTGCCTCACTATCGACAAGCTCTAGACATGATCTTGGACCTGGAGCCTGGTGAGGCCCCCTCCGGGCTGTTTTGTGTGATGCTTTTCTTTTTTTTCTTTTTTTATCTTCAAATCCCTGTTCATCTGCTTCTTGATTTTCTAAATTTCCTTTTGATTTCTGGCTTCCTTAACCTCAATCCCACACTTCACTTTGACCTCACCCGACTTTTGCCTAGTTTAGTGACTTACACCACTTGTGCTCATACTCTGATCCCATAATTCAGCTCTATTCCATAATGCCAGTTTCCACAGGGGTCTCCTTTTTGCTTCTTTCTCCTGCCTTGCACCTCCCGGGCTAGAGTTCCACCTTCCCTACTGATGTTTTTGCATTTATGTCTTGAGGGAGTTGGGAGGAGGAGAAGAAGGCAGAGGCTGGAGAGGTATGGAGAGAAGGTAGAGCTGCCTTGGGTTGGTGGAAGGGTCAGAGGCCCACATGATGGATGGGGTGAGGCTCAAAGGTGGGTGCTGAGTAGCCAGCAGGTCCTGGGCATGGGCAGGGCACCTAAGAGAGCGGTAAGACAGGTGGTTGCCGTGTTTCAGATGAAGAGCTGGAAGACAACCCCAACCAGAGTGACCTGATTGAGCAGGCAGCTGAGATGCTGTATGGATTGATCCACGCCCGCTACATCCTCACCAACCGTGGCATCGCCCAGATGGTGAGGCCTCGCTGCTTGCACTTGACTCCTCTGAGGCAGGAAGGGAAACAGTTCCTGCAGCAGGGAGTCTGGCTGAGGAGCGCCTCAGAACCTGGGCCTGGGAACTCGGTCCTGATTGGGAATTGTGCTGAAGGGGGTTTTTTCAGGAAGGGAGGTGTGACCTTGGGCTGGAAGTGGTTAGAGACTCTTCCTCAGAATAAACAGTGAATGGCTGATGGTCTGAGGGCCTGCATGAGGAATGGGGGACAGAGTGATAGGGGTTGGGCAGAGGAAGGGGTTCCCCTTCTTTTCACACCCCCCTGCCACCCCAACGCTTGCCATTTTATTCCCCTCAGTTGGAAAAATACCAGCAGGGAGACTTCGGCTACTGTCCACGTGTGTACTGTGAGAACCAGCCGATGCTTCCCATCGGTGAGTGTGGAGAGGGAGGAGGACACGTGGCAGGTCCTCTGGGAAGGAGTTGGGGCTCAGCAAGTCGGACCCTGCGTTTGGGAGTGAGTTTGGGCGCGGTCAGGGGAGCCTGCATGCTGAGCCTGCCTGTCTCCCAGGCCTTTCGGACATCCCAGGGGAGGCCATGGTGAAGCTCTACTGCCCCAAGTGCATGGACGTGTACACACCCAAGTCCTCGCGGCACCACCACACGGACGGCGCGTACTTCGGCACTGGCTTCCCTCACATGCTCTTCATGGTGCACCCCGAGTACCGGCCCAAGCGGCCTGCCAACCAGTTTGTGCCCAGGTAGGGAGTAGGGACAGTCACCAAGGGTCAAAGGAAAGGCCCGGGACCCCTAGAGGGAAGGGAGGACTGGGCATGGTCTTTTTTTGAGGTCTGCTTCTCCCAAAGCTAGGGCTCTCCTTGCTGAGGGACCTTAGAAGAGTTCTTTGGTTGCCTGTGTCTCAGTTCCCTTGTCCATAGTGGGATGCTGATGGTAGCTGCCTGGCAGGGTATTCTTAAATATGTGAAGTGTTTAGAATAACGTTTGGCACTTAGAGCACCATTTAAACAACAGCTGTTCTTGCCATCACCTGGGATGTTCTGCCTTTGCGAGGAGATCCTCAGACCACAGTTCAAGTGTGGTTTATCTTCCTAAGCATCATCTTTACGCTGGAGGGGGGGCGGGGGGTCTCAGTTTTATGGTGAAGCAAGTAGTGATACAGACAGCCTAGAATTTGAGTTTTAATGTGTATTTAAGACACAGACCCAAATAAAGGGTGGGGAGATCAGAATGTAGGCTGCTGGCAGGGCTGCATGTGGCTCACCTGCTGTCTCTCTGACCTATTCCCTGGCCCAGGCTCTATGGTTTCAAGATCCATCCGATGGCCTACCAGCTGCAGCTCCAAGCCGCTAGCAACTTCAAGAGCCCAGTCAAGACGATTCGCTGATTCCTCACCCCGTCCCCATTCCTTTGCTGCCGCCTTGTCAGCAACCCTCTATGGTTTTAGTTTAAATTAAAGGAGTCGTTATTGTGGTGGGAACAGGAAATAAAGTGGAAGAAAAGGCCATGAGCTGGTCTGCTGGTGCTTGTGTGCTGGATGCCAGGGGCCCTCATGGCCCGGCTCACCCTCCCCCCGGTGAAAGCTGGCACGGATATGTGCCCGGTGGATTAGTGATGCTTTAGTAACAGAGCAGAATCCTAGGACTGGATGTGGGGGTGTGCAAAGTCCCAAGGAAAAGACACAGAGAAAGGTCAGGCTTCAAAGACTAGAGAAATGTTTGCTTTGGTCGGGAGGACACCTATGGCTGTTCACACAGTGAGGATCATAACACTGAGTTTTGGTTTTACAGGGAAATAAGGGGCGGAGGGAAGCGGGAAAAGGCCCAGAATTGCTGCCGGTGTGGTTCTGTGCCCCCCGCTGGGGAAGCTGGGACATGCTCATCTCAAAAGGACGGGGTGGCCGAGTTCCTGGCCAGAGTTCTGGCACAATGGGGACTGGCTCTGATGTGAGGGAGGGCAGCATGTGGAGCTGGACACAAGCTAATTCATGGACCCTGAGGGGCAGGAATAGGTGTTTGGGGAGCACACTGGATACAGGCCCAGGTCCTGCCCGTTTCAGCCACTGCGCCCACATTCAGAGAGCAGGCCTCGTGGGTGAGAACACACCGTTCCTCCTGCCAAGTTAATCACTTCCTCACCCAGCCCAGGTCCTGCCCCAGGCAGGAATATAGCTCTACCCACGGCAGCTCCTGCCCAGACTCAAAACCCCCCTGCAGCTCAGGACCCAGGAGCATGGTCCTGGGAAGGTGGAGATGCAGGGCACCCCTCAGGCACGGCCCCTCTCCCCAGAATGCCATCATGAAGGCACATGTGCTTGTGGGTGTGCTGGTCGTGGTAGGCTTCGCCATGGGAAAAGGTGAGTGGGGCCCAGGGGCAGGACGGGAGGGGGTGGGCAGGGACCTTGGAGTGAGCTCTGCCCCATCCCTCTGTCTCCCTCAGCTCCTGTTGCTGAACTCCGGACCTGCCACCTCTGCCTCTTGGAAGACCCTTCTGCAGGATGCGTTTCCGGCTCAGAGAAATGCACCATCAGTAGCTCATCCCCATGCATGGTGATCACCATCTATTACAGTGAGTTCAAGACTCAGGAAGGGGCTGCTGGTGAGACGGCCCGTTGCTTGGTCTCATAGATGAGGGCTGCTGGGGGCACAAGGAGAGAGAAGGACCCCGGAAGGTGGGGTCAGGAGTTTGGGGGGCAGGAGGGTAACGAAACTAAATTTCTGAAGCTGTCTGGGTGGAAGCTGGGTCTGGTAAGGGATGGGGAGAGTTCTTGGTAGGGGTGCCACGTTTGGAGACTACGGGAGGCCACGGCTTATGAGCTGTTCTCTTCCTCCAGATACCAGGGTTCGCTTCCTCGTCCGAGGCTGTGGACAGTACAATTCTTACCGCTGCCAAGAAAAACGCAACACCTACTTCTCAGAGTACTGGTACCATGCCCAGTGCTGCCAGTACGATTACTGCAACTCGTGGTCCAGCCCTCAGCTCCAGAGCTCCCAGCCTGAGCCCCCTGTTGGGGCCCTGAGCCTGCCTCTGTCCAAGTCCCAGACCCAATGGTTCTACCAGGCCCTAAGCCTCTCACTGCCACTCCCCAGCTCCCATGACGGGAAGGAGCCTGAAGGCCTGGACCCCCCGGCTGCCCTGCCCTGGAACCTGGGCCTGTCTGTTGCCGACCTGCGCCGCATATACCTGTTCCTCAACAATTCGGGGCTTTTGGTTCTTCCCTGGGCAGGGCCCTGACCCTTACACTTCTTGAATTGCAGTCTGTTTAACATCTCTCCCAACACCCAACGCCCTGCTCTGGCCTCTCAGAACTCAGCTTCTCTCTCTGCTCTTTCAGACCTTCCCTTTGTCCTCCGTGTCTGTGTGGCTGGTTCCATTCCCTCCTCAGGAACCGTCATGCCCAGTGCTCTCCTTCCTCCTGGAGGATGATCTCAGGTGCAGATTCTGCTGGGCCGGCCTGGGGAGCCAGCGGCTCCCTTGTCCTTGTCCCACCTGCGTGTGCCGTCACCCCATCTTCCTCGTCCCCTCTGGTCTGGTCACCTGCCACCTCCATTCAGTTGTGGCTGTTTCCCGTGCTGTGCCCGTCTCAGACGCAGGCCAGATTGGTTTGTAGCGAGGAGGATGAGGGTTGAGCTGCAGATTCCTGACTGGGCACCTGGTGTCCCTGCCTCACTGTCTACCGCCCACTCCCCCTGGGTCTCCTGCTGCCTTTCTCAGCTCTTGTTCTGGTCGCTGGCCTCCTCCGCCTCACTCCATGTCACTGAGTCCTGATACCCACTCCCATAGGTGCCCAAGGGAGGGAGAGGGTCTGTCCTGCTCTTCTCTGTGTCCCCCAATTTCCGTCCACAATAAACAGACAGGGTTAAGTCTGAGTCACATTGTTTATGGGGTTAGGCTCAGGTGTGGGCAGGTGTAGACAGGTGAAAAAGTTAATTGGGTGTGGGTTCAAATGGTTGCAGAGCTCTGCCCACTCCACCTGGTTTTGTGGCTTCTGGCCTGCCCCAAAGGCCCACGTCCATCCCACCCTCTGCTCAGCGAGAGATCAAAGCTTGGGGATTATGATGCCTCCCAGCCTTAAACGTACCCTACAAAACCTAGGAAGTTCAGTCCAGGTGATGCCCGATTTTTCCACCTGAAAGAGGAGGAAAAACTTCAGGAAAACTCAGGAGCAAGCCTAAGGGCCCAAGTCTGCACCTCAGTCACCTAGTGCTGAGGGACCTGTTTCCTGCCTGTCTTTTAATTTTGTATGTGTGTTTTTTTCCAATTGATTTCTTTAGAGAAACACTGATGGTTTTAACTGCCTCCCGTATGCCCTCTACTGGGGATTGAGCCAGAAACCAGAATGTGACCTGGTGCATGGGGTGACACCCAACCAACTGCACCACACCGGCCGTATCTGCCTGTCCATTCTTTTTTTTTTTTTTTTTTTTTTTTTTTAATATATTTTATTGAGTTTTCACAGAGAGGAAAGGAGAGAGATAGTTAGAAACATCGATGAGAGAGAAACATCGACCAGCTGCCTCCCGCACACACTCCCCACTGGGGATGTGCCCGCAACCCAGGTACATGCCCTGACCGGAATCGAACCCGGGACCCTTCAGTCCCCAGGCCGATGCTCTGTCCACTGAGCCAAACCGGTCTCTGCCCTGTCCATTCTTTTTAGGTTCCTGGTATCCAGGACCCCTTAGCTGGGGGCCTTTTATTTTATTTTTGAAAATGGCAAATATCCTGAAAGCAATAATTAATAGTCGTAACTCCCTTTTCCTTACATTCAACAAACTACACACGCCTGCTCTGTGCCAGGCCCAGTGTTAAGCACCAGGACTCAGAAGGTACAGCCAGGTCTGCCCTTCCAAATCTCAACCCAATGCTGGGGTGGTAAATCCATTTCTGAGAAGTAGTGCAGCCTCGCGGCCGGGAGCCCAATGGCTCCTCCACGTGGGTAAGCTGGTCTCGGGTCCATGGCGAGTGCATGTGCACGTACACACACACGGCTTCGTGCAAACACACATGCCTTCGGGACAGACTGACTTAGGCCTATCTGTTTAAACCTCTGGCAAAACATAAGATGGGCTTTTGAAAACCACCCGCCTGTGTTAGCAGTTTGAAGCTGGCATAAAGGCCTCTGGTGCCCAAAGCTGCTCTAGGCACGGCCCCCAACTCGGCGCCACCTCTACCCGAGCTGGAGCAGCTGGGCTGGGTTTGTCTGCTGGGTTTCAATGGCGTCATACAGCACATACTCATGTCCGCGGCACTGGCCCTGGCCAGGTGTTAACCCCATGGCCTGTGCTCTGGTGGGAAACGCCAACGTTAATGTTCAGGTCAGGAGGCAGTTGGAGGGACAGAGGTGTAAGCCTGTGTGTTCCCCTCTTGCTGGGCCCACTGTTCCCCATACTTGATTTCGGTCTAGGACAGAAGGCCCAAACTGGAAGACAGCCTCAGAGGCTGAGGACCCCAAGGCCCGAAACAAGCGTAGAGCCATGGTCCTGAGGGGGCTGAGCCTGGGACAAAGCCCCGGGCCCCACGAGGCCCAGCAGCTCTCACCCTTCTCCCTGGACCTGCCTTGCACAGCCCATGCCCACTGACACCTCCCTGCAGGCCTCCCTGCAGTTCCCACATGGCTCTGGGCTGACAGCACTAACGGATGCCCACTGCCCTTTTGGCTGGCACTGTATCTCCTTCCAATTCCTCTTCACCTGTTTGTGCTTAGAGCTGAATCAGACACCAAGACAGGCGAGAGCAGAGCTCAGAAGAGCTGGGAGCCCCTTACCTGTCCCCCAATGGGGCTGCCAGGCAGGACCCCCCTCAGCCTCCACCACCACCAGAAGAGAAACCATACAGATTGTACACCAATTTATTCTGCAGGAACACCTCGCAAGAGAGGCCTTGGTGGGAGGAAGGGAGAAGGCCAGAGCAGAGCAAAGGCTGCCTAGAGGTGGGAGAAGAGGCGAGGGAAGCTGTCAGACTGTGAGGACTTACAGGGAAAACTCCAGAGATGTCTGGAGAGGGTGCTTGGGGAGGGGCAGAGTGTGAATGGGGTGCTGAGGGGCGGCAAGCAAGAGGCAACTAGGGCTGGGTCAGGTAACCTGGGGGCGGTGGGCTAGGAGTTGTCCTGGCTGCGCCAGGTGGGAACCAGGAAGCTGGCTGGACACCGGCAACATTTTACTGCAAAGGCCTCTGCAGCCGTCCCATGGGATTAGAGCGCTCGGTTCTGTGGGCTATTGCAGAAATCCTGGAAACAGCATCGAGAGAACATCCAGAAGCCAAACACGGGGGACGTGCGGGTGTGTGAGCAGTCACTCATCTGCTCCTTGCGGCAACAGTCACTCACCATGATGTCAGACCCACTGCCTGCAACAGCAGTACGGTCCAGCAGAGCCCCAAACCCTCTTCTCCCTCCCTCCACTTGGACCTACACTGCCCCACACCCTTCCC